CCCCCCCCCCCCAAAGAAGAAAATCCCCTTTTTGACGGTCGCCTAATCATGCTTGCTATTATCTTAATGGCAATTATTTTGTTCTTTTTGGTAATAATTTTAGTTAGAAAAAGGAGAAAAATTAATAAGAGCGGCCGAGATAGGCTTGGCTCACGGTTTCCGCTTGACAAAAAAGACATTTAACAACCGAGTTTTTTTTGCCGTTAAGATAAAGACAGCGAATACTATACGAAGGCACTTTTTCCTTAATTTTCAATTCGCAATCTAAATTATTACAAAAAGGGACCAAAAATAAACCCTTGTTTCCGTCTTTTATTTTTTTCTCTAATTCGGTCAAACTGGAAACCGAAAAAATATGCTGGTCGCGAAACTCCACGCTTTTTTGATAGAGATTTTTTTGTAATTCTGCGGCTTCTTTACTGATAACCCCAAAAATTTTTCCGGCTCTCTGGCCTTGTCTAAATGAGTTAGCCATTTTTGCTTTTTCCTTTATTAATACTTCTTTACTTTCTTGGTTAATCCCGCTTATTGCTTCCCAGTACTTTTCAACGGCCGTAATGTATTTTTTTTCTGTTTCATTTTCCTCCAACTTAATAGTAATTTTTCTTTCCACATTATCTCTCCTTACCAGAGTAATTTCCTGTTTTTTTAATTCTTCCGGTCCCAAAATTATTTTCAACGGACACCCTTCTCGGTCGGCTTGGAGAATGTTCTTATTAATCTGTGAACTCTCATTATATAATTGACAGCGATAGCGAGCATCCCCCAACAAACCGCTTATTTCCTGGTAGTATTTAACCAACTCCTCGTTGGGCTGGACCAAAATAAAAGCGATTTGGACGGGAGCAATAGCAAATGGCAAAATTACTCCCCAATTATCAGCATGGGCTTTGACAATTGCCCCGATGGCCCGAGTCGAAGTGCCCCAGGAAGTTGAAAAGGGATATTGAAATTGATTTTGCTGGTTTTGGAACTTGACCTCCATCGCCCGACAAAAGTTATCTCCAAAGTAATGACTAGTAGCTAATTGTAAACATTGACCGTCCGGTAATAAACATTCCACTGTATAACTCTCCAAGGCTCCAGCAAATTTTTCTTTTTCACTTTTTTTGCCTGTAATAATCGCTAGACATAAATTTTTTTCGATATAAGCCTGATACTCCTGTCAAATTTTTTGGCAGAATTCACGGGCTTCTGCTTCTGTGGCATGTAAAGTATGCCCTTCTTGTCAAAAAAATTCGGTATTTCGCAAAAAAGGCTTAGTGTTTTTTTCAGCTCTAAAAACTTGACACCATTGATTATAAAGAAAAGGTAGTTGCTGGTAAGATTGGAGAATTTGTCGATACCAGTCGTAAAATAATACTTCACTGGTTGGCCGTAAAGCCAAAGGCTCGGTTAATTTTCTTTCCCCGGCTCGCTCTACTCAAAAACACTCTGGACTAAAACCGGCAATATGACTTTTTTCTTTTTCTAATAAATTAAAAGGAATTAAAGTCGGCAGAAGCACATTTTTCACTCCTCGGCTCGAAAACTTTTCCTCAAGTAGGTTTTGAATGTTTCTTCATAACGCACAACCCCGCGGGGGCAAAATAAAACTTCCTTTATTATTACCAGAAAAAAACAACCCGGCCTCGATTAGCATTTTTTTATATTTGTCTCCTTCAACCATTACTAAAAACTGAAAATAGAATTATTATAATATTCTTCTTATGCCTCTTCCCCTTCTCGCATATCTTTTCCGTCGCAAAAAGGTGAGAAGAAAAACGTTTTCGGATGGCTTCGTGTATTAGATAGACCAGTTTCTTCTACTTTTCCTTCCCGAATCTGTGCTAGCCAGAAACGATATTTCTCACTATCAGCGGCCGACGAGTCGTCCCCTACGTTCTCTAATCACGAACGTCGAAGAGCACTTCTGATATCAATAAACGAAATTCCTGTTTCCAAAGAACACTTTTGTTTTTCTTCCCAAGTAATTTCCTTAACTTTTTCCCAATACCCTTCTGGGAAAGCAAGGTTTCAAGTTGTTTTTTCCTTAGTAAGTTTAGGGTCTTTTTCGGATAAGAAATTAATTATTTGCTCGTATTCTTCTCGTTGTTGGGGATAAGTGATTTTGATTTTAAAACCGAGCCGGCCCGACCGCGTCATAGCCGCATCCAACTCTCCCGGATGATTAGTTATGCCAATAATTATAATATTTAACTCTTTCGTTTCTATTGTATCAGTCATCC